TTTACCCCTCATGATCTGAAGAACTATATCACAGGGACAAGGCAGAAATCAATGAAACCAGGCGAAGCAACTATACTTCTTGAACATTTTCGCCATGAAGCTTACAAGAATCCATCATTCTTCTATGAAATTGAGGTAGATAGTAACGAAGATATTGCAAGTATATTCTGGGCTGATGCAAGAATGCGGTTTGACTATAGTTGCTTCGGAGATACGATCAGCTTCGACACCACATACAGGACAAACCAGAATTATCGTCCACTAGGTCAGTATTCCTTGCACTAGTTAATTTTCTTGAGATTTCGAAGTTGAATGCATACCAAACATTACATAATGCATTAGGAGGTTTCTGGTGGGATTTTGCAAATGTTGTGGTTTGCTTTGTGAGGTTTGTGGTTTTCTTTGTGAGGTTTGTGGTTTCCTTTGTGAGGTTTGTGGTTTGCATTAATAGGTTTCTGGTCTGCTTCCGCAAATGTTGTGGTTTGCTTTGTGAGGTTTGTGGTCTGTTTTATAAGATTTGTGGTGTGCATTAGAAGGTTTGTGGTTTGCATTAAGAAGGATTCCTTGCACTAGATAATTTTCTTGATATTTCAAAATTGAATGCAAACCAAACATTACGCAATGCATACCACAAACCTCCTAAACCATACTAAAAACGTCCTGAAGCACACCATATATATCATAAAAGACAGCCTTTGTTTGTTTCAATGTTTAATTCTATGTTGTTCTTTTTTTTATTTTTAATTTACAGCTTTGTTTGTTGGCTTCAACCACCATCATGCACTTTGCATCTTCGGGGCTGCTCTCCTATATGATGAAACAACCGCTACATTCAAGTGGTTGTTCGATGCATTCTTGAAATGTATGTCAGGCAGCCGACCAACATCAATATTCACCGACCAAGCTGCTGCAATCGCCGCTGGGATTAGATCCGTCATTCCTAAAGCATTCCATGGCTTGTGTACTTTTCATATCAAGCAGAATGCAATGAAGCATCTCGACACCACAAACACAAACATTCTAGAAGATCTGAAATATGTCACTTTTGGAGTAGAAAATGAGGAAGAATTTGAGTACAATTGGTCAAGGTTGCTAGACACATATTATCCAGAAGAAGGCACCAATCCAAGGAACTGGTTGGATTCAATTTACAAGGTGAGAAAACAGTGGTCTTCAGCATGGATTAAGGACCACTTCACAGCTGGTATGCGAAGCTCACAGCTGAGTGAGTCTTGTAACAGCAACCTCCGAAACTACCTTCAACCAGATGACAACCTAGTTGAGTTCTTCACATACTTCAACAAGTTGCTCTAACGGAAAAGATCAGACGAAATGGACATGGATTATCAAATGGCAAACACAGTCCCAAACAACATGTACGTATTACTTCCTTTATTTGAACTTTTTATACTGTAGAATGCATCCACAGAACAGTTGAATACAACCCAGATACCACCTAAACCAACCCAAAAACCCTACAATCCGCACCACAGACAACCTAATCCAAACCATAAACACCACAATGCACACCGCAAAAGCTTAAACAACCCAGATACCACCTAAACCAACCCAAAAACCCTACAATCCACACCACAGACCACCTAATACAACCCATAAACACCACAATCCACACCAAACACGACTTAAAATAACCCATAAATCCCACAATTCGCACCACAAACAGTACAATACATACCATAAAATCATTAATGTAGACAAGATGTTTTATGAATGATTGTATGTTGTATGTCATCTTCCAACAGGTATGACAGAAGCCCACTTGTTCAGCAAGTCGCAAAATTATACACAACTAAGATCTACAGTTCTTTCCTTGAGGAGTATTCAGAAAGCCTTGCTTTTTTTGTGTTCCGGAATGAATCTATGGATAGAGATGGAATGACAGCTTATGAAGTGAAGAAACTGGGAGGATTAGGCAAAAGAGTCGTGTTAGTGAACAAAGAGGAGAAGAAATACAAGTGCTCATGTCGTTTGTTTGAAAGTTCAGGCTGGTTGTGCAGACATGTAATCAGGCATATAGAGATGGTTGGATTCAATGGTGATGATATTGAGCAATTGACTATCCCTGAGGAATACATTCTGCCACGATGGACGAGAGATGCCAAATCTGGAGAGAAGTTCACAATAAACACAACAGAATGTGCTGCAACAGATACTTATGCAGGGAGGTATCAAGAACTGTGTGCTAGCATGGTTATCTTAGCAACAAAAGTCTCAATGAATGACAAGGTCTTCTCAATGGTTAAGGAAAAGATTGCAGAGCTCACTAAACTAGCTTTCCAAAGCCTTCAGACTCAAGAAACTCAGCAAACAGTACCTGGTAATTTCACACATCTTGTTAGCATCCCTACTTATATTCACCAGTAATTGCTTAATCCAAGCCACTAATGATCTAATGCAAACCATAAACATCTTAATCCAATCCACTAATTGCTTAATCCCTACTTATGTTCGCCAGTATCTTGCATATTGCTTTTTCAACAGATGGAACCACCAGTACATCACCCTCACAAAGCGCTGCTGCTTCACCTACAAATGACAAATATGCCAATGTGAAGGGATTCAAGGCTCGAAAAGACCCATGGAAATCAAAGAAGAGGCCAAGAGGTGGACTTGAGGTAGCGCTGGAGAGGGCTAGAAAGCAAAGAATTGATGAACAGGCCGCCAACAAGCGTTACAAAAGCAACAATGAGTGATTAGTTTCCTTGTTGTTATCCGTGTTTTTTTTATCTGTCATAAACTTTTAGATTTCAATGACAACTATGAGACAAATATGAACAGTTGCAGGTTTTGATAATATTTGATCAACACAGATACAGTTGAATACAACCCAGATACCACCTAAACCAACCCAAAAACCCTACAATCCACACCACAGACCACCTAATCCAAACCATAAACACCACAATGCACACCGAACAAGGTTAAACAACCTAGATACCACCTAAACCAACCCAAAAACGCTACAATCCACACCACAGACCACCTAATCCAAACCACACCATACAGGAAAGAAAACAAACCACGAAACCTCTTAACAAAACCAAACCACAAACATATGGAAACTTTCCAGAACACTCATTAAGCAAACCACTTATGTATTAACACAAACCACTTGTCTTATAATACACACCATACACGACGAACACAAATCCTCTTAATCAACACCATTAACACACTAAAACACATATTAACACACTGAAATCTGAAACTGTTCTTGCAAATGCATGCTAAAATCAGCTAGTCCACCTTGCGATCAAACTCCAAACTCTTCTTCTTCACCTCTTCAAGTACACTGTTCTCCTTGTTCAGCAGCAATGTTAATGTGATCTCATCCCGCCTCTGATTGATTTGTTTTTGCCACTTCCTCATAGCTGGATCCAGTTTGCCATCCCAAAACTCAGCAAAATTCATAGCAAAAACACCACAGTCAACCCCACCACGTTGTCTCACCCCTCGCATTCTAACCCACTTGAATTCTTCAAATTTGAAGGGCTCTTCTCTGCAGGCAGGAATGTATTCTGTGGCATAGCGGACCACCATATCCGCAACAGCACGAAACTTGGAATCAAGTTCGTCAGGGTAAAGGCTGTCAAGATAATCATACCGTTTGTTCTTCAGATTCACTACATACATCCTGTAGTGGTCATCAGAACAGTGGGGGAACATCCACTGCATGCAGAACAAAAACAAGTCAGTACTCCAAAAGCACAATGAAGAAAAAACACACATGAAACAATGTAGCAAATCTGACTAAAAAAAATACATACAAAATCACATTGTGTGAAATCCAAACCATCTGGTATCCACTTGCAACTTGTAATAATTTCATCAGTCTCTTCAAAAAAATTAGGCAGTGGTCCAGAGTTGTTCACTATCCCTTGCACTTTTTGCTACAAGGTAGAACACAACATAAACACAGTAAAACAAACCAGACGTATTATAATGCACACCACAAAAACCCTAAAACAAACCAGACATCTTATAATGCACAACACAAAACCCTTAAACCAAACCAGACGTATTATAATGCACACCACAAAAACCCTAAAACAAAACAGAACTAGCAGAAAATGTAACTCACCGCTAGCCCTGAATAGAACACTCATCTTTTCAGTTGCCCTCTTCTCACTTGCTCCCGATTCAGATAGGCAGCATAGCAGTCAATAACATCCACACTCACACATTTCCCATGTGCCAAAGTCTCTGTGTCCTTTCTATACAAGCAATCGAATCCATCAACACGACTGAAAGGATTTCCTTCCTATTTTTCATAATCCATAACAAACAAAACAGTCGGCATTAGAAAAGTACTAATAAGCACTATATAAAAAAATATATACAAACAACCGCATATGTATGAAATCTATACACATTAACTTACAAGTTATTCGAATCCCTTGCATATCGCAACACAGCACCCTTCAACACATCAATATCAACACCGGATGAGCTTCCTGCATTCTTCACTTTAAATTTTTTCTGATTTTTAAATCAACCCACAAATTAGATAAAACAATACTAAAAACAACTAACACAAACCACAAATGCGATAAACCACACTACAAACACAAACCAAAACTGAAACATTGTACAACAAATTACCTTTCCCTTCCTAACTAGCTGACTCAATGTTAAATCTCCACTACCATCACCACCCTCAAGCACCTCACCGGCATCAGCTTCTTTCCTTTTCTCATCAACCACCACATCTTCACAAACATCCCCCATAGCAGACTACAGAAACCAAACCACAAAAGTGTTTAACAAAACCAGATATATGTAAACCACACTACTAACAAATGCAAAACAACATACTACAAAAGACATGACAAACAAACCAAAAACAGTATAATCCACACCACAAATATTCAAACACAAAACAGTAAAAATACCTTTACGACCTTCTCAACCAAGTTATCCAACTTAGCAGCATCAACACCATCAACATTGTCATCTCCATCATCACCTTGTCCCTTTTCCTCATAGCTGTCCATCTCCATCACCTTCTTAGCATTCTCAGAATCAGCTTCTTTCCTTTTCTCATCAACCACCACATCTTCACAAACATCCCCCATAGCAGACTACAGAAACCAAACCACAAAAGTTTTTAACAAAACCAGATATATGTAACCCACACTACTAACAAATGCAAAACAACCAACTACAAAAGACATGACAAACAAACCAAAAACAGTATAATCCACACCACAAATATTCAAACACAAAACAGTAAAAATACCTTTACGACCTTATCAACCAAGTTATCCAACTTAGCAGCATCAACACCATCAACATTGTCATCTCCATCATCACCTTGTCCCTTTTCCTCACAGCTGTCCATCTTCATTACCTTCTTAGCATTCTCAGAATCAACACTTTTTTGTGTCATCTCCATTGTCAGATTATCAAGATGATCATCAAGTCCCTCCGAATCTAATACTCCCTTAGGAGAGGTATCATCATTAGCAGTGCCAGCAGGATCATTGTGACCAACATCTGGCAACACAACATCAACAGTACCAGGTCGAGCACCATCCTTATCCATCTCCATTGACAAATCATCAAGACCCGGGGACTTTGGACTGTTAGCACCAGTCTCATCATCAGCATTGCAGCTAGGGGTGGCTATACGGTCCGGTCCGGTTAAATTGGCCCAAATTGATCCGGTCCAGTCCGGTTTTTTTGAAAATATAAGGACCGAAGATTGGATTGGATACAGTCCGGTCTTGATCCGGTCCGGTCTTGACCCGGTCCGGTCCCAATTCGGTCTTGATTTTATATTGAGATTGTGGAAATTTGAGTGGCCTAAGGCCTAAAAGGGTGAGGAGTTGGTTAAGTTTTGTACTAAGTGTAAAGGTTTGTAACCGTTTATGCAAATTACCCTTAAGTTTTGAGTGTTGAGCTCTCTTATCCGGTCTTTATCCGGTTTTTTACCTCAAATCTAAGCCCAAAGATTGGATTGGATTGTTTACTATCCGGTCCCGGTCCGGTCTCGGTCCGGGTTATACGGTCCGGTTTCCGGTTTTTCATCCAGTCCCGGTCCAAATAACCAGCCCTATTGGCAGCAGATGCATTGCGACCGACATCATTGGTTCCCTAGCAACAGCAACATCATCAACTCTATCAGTGAAATCGACATTATCTTCAGGACTATCCTCTGGTTGCTGCCCCTCCAGCATCTTTATATGATCATCAACTTGTTCAATGCTCGAACTGTAATGAGTAGCCATCCTCAACAAAGCCCTCTTATAACTTTCCATGTCATTCTTCAACTGATATGCCTACAAAAACACGAAAACAACCCAAAGTTACTGAACAGCCCAAAAGCAAACCATAAACCTTCTAAAGAATCTCACATTCCTTTTAATGAACACCTAAAACACACTTATACAAACCACATATGTTTGAGTTCTCACAGAAAAACACCTACCAAACGATGAGTACCATAAAATATTCCTTTAACGAAGTAATGCAAACCACTATTCTTTTAATAGAAACCACAAGTACACTAAAGCAAGCCAAAGAACAAACAACAGAAAACACAACTAACCAGCACATGAATAAAATAAAGTATTCCGTAAACAAACTAATGCAAACCACTATACTTGTAAAGCACACTGAAAGTACTCTAAAGAAAGACATAAAACGAATAACACAGAAAAAATCACTCACTTCTTCAACCGAATGAATACTATCCAAGTTGAGGTCAAGATAGGGAAGCTTCGGAAGATCCCCTTCCCTCTCCATATCAAGATCATCTACCGGCCTTTTCCTCTTTGAACCCTGCAGTCCTGCACACGTCCTCGTCCCATTGGTTGACTGGAGGTTGTTTGTTCTTCCACCACTACATCTCGATGACCAATAGTGAGATGACCTTCGTCCATCAGTACTTGAAAAGCAGCACTTGCGACTTTGTACGACCTATGCCTACAGGTCGGTATGGGCAGCTCAGGGGGGTTCTTCACACGGTCAAGAATCGAAATCTGCCACATATACAAACAGACAGAAGTCAAGCAACCACAAACAAACTATGCCAGAAAGATTATAATACACACCACACAACCAGGGGGCAAAAGCAAACCATAAATATTCTTAAACAAACCATAAACATCTTCAACCACACCACATTCGTCAATAAACAAACCATAATTGATAAACAATACCAGAAACATTATAACAAAGGGGGGCAAAGCAAACCATAAATATTCTTAAACAAACCATAAACATCTTCAACCACACCACATTCGTCAATAAACAAACCATAAATGAAAAACAATACCAGAAACATTATAACACAGGGGGGGCGGCAAAAGCAAACCATAAAAACTCTTAAACAAACCATAAACATCTTCAACCACACCACATTCGTCAATAAACAAACCATAAATGAAACAGTAAACCAAAATTCGAAAAGGGGTATATTTATTCACTTACAAAAAGAAGATGAACGTCACCAGGGAACTTTGATTTTGATTGAACCACTTCAACCATACTGTCATTAAAATGGTCAGCCACATGCTTACACCAATTATATTGGGTGAAGTCAGCAACCATTCCATCTTGCAAAAAACCAGCATAGGAGAGGTTAATCTTCAAATTTCCACTGGGACACAGAACTGCCTCCATTGCATACAGTACAAAAAGATCCCTCCACTTCTTATTGTCCCTCTCCTCTTCCAATGCCAGTTTAACGTTTGCCAATGACGCCTTTCCTTTCCTAGTATTGGAAAGCCCTAACTCAATTCCCCACCTGTGCCTCTGGGCTGCACTGAACATATCCAGCTTAACAGCATACGGTCCACGCGGCAAACCATAGACTATCTCCACATCTGCCTCTCCAATTCTAAACTTCCCTGACCGAAGCAGCGGGAAAGACCTTGAACTCACATCAAAGCTTTTGCAAAGCCATTCAGTAAAATTATCCGGGAGTCTCGTAAGCTTAACCCTCGACACACCCCTATAACCCAGAGGATCAAGCATCTGCAGTTTTTCTTCACTTGTACTGTCAGCATCCATGATGGCAAGAATATGATTAGTATTACTACGATGCCTCTTATCCGGCTTTCCAGGCACAGGAGAAGCACCATCTTTCTCTCGCTTAGGTGTTGCAACTTTTTCCTTTTCTTTCCCCTTTACTGCATCATCTTTCTCTTGCTTAGGTGTTGGAACTTTTTCCTTTTCTTTCCCCTTTACTGCACGTTTCTTAGCAGGTGACATGCCTACAAAGCAACCAAAACACAGACCAACATAAGCAATCTCATACCAGAACATATAAAATCCAAACCATTAAGGGCCTAATGCAAACTGTAAAACCATGAAAACAATCCAATAATCAAATTTAAACCAGACAAACAACAACTCCAAATGAACCACCAACATCACCCTGGAAATACACCAGAAAGGCCCCAATCAAACCCACAAACACCCTAAATGTCACCAAACACAAAGCGCACCACCAAAAAAAAAGAACAAAACAACAGAACTACTGAACACCACCACAAACGACTCAATAATTAGATGTAAAGGAGACAAACAACAACTGCAAATGCACACAAGTAAATCTTCTAAACCAAACTGTGAAATCCGAAACACAAACCACAAAACCTTTTAAAAGAACCACCAACAGCAGCCTGAAAATACACAATAGTTTTATTAAAACCCTCCAAAAAGGCCCCAATCCAACCTACAAACACCCTAACTGTCACCAAACACAAAGCGCACCACCAAAATATAGAACAAAACAAGAGAACTACTAAACAACACCACAAACGACTCATGGGAAACCAGAAACCTTAAAATACACAATAGTTTTATTAAAACCCTCCAGAAAGGCCCCAATCCAACCCACAAACACCCTAACTGTCACCAAACACAAAGCGCACCACCAAAATATAGAACAAAACAACAGAACTACTAAACAACACCACAAACGACTCATGAGAAACCAGAAACCCTAAAATAATCAAAGCACACCACAAAAATGAAGAAACATCCAACAAAACCTAACCAGAACGCACAACTATGAAATTTCCTCGTCTCCTTCAACAAATTTAGACAGCATGCGTCAAAACATCGCAGAAAACTGGAAAACGAAAGTAACAGAGGGCAAACATGAAAACGAAGGTTGTAAATTCAATAGCAGAAGCAAGCAATGACAATGCTAACGAAAACGAAAACGGCGACGCCAAACTAACACCATACAAGTGGAACTCCGGCGACGCCAAACGATAACGGCGACTTCGCAGACCAAAACTGACGACGGAGGAGAAGACAGTTCCAGTTTATCGGAGGAAATCACCGGCATACCTCGAAATTCACTTCGGCGACGGAGGAAACAGAATCGCGTGAAGGAAATCCACAAGCCGCAGACGAAATCGCTCGATGCAGATGGAAATTTGGTGGCGAGAACAGGGAGAGAGCAACCGAAGGAGGCGTCCCGTCGGAGAGCAGTTCGTGAGCAGAGGGGAAAGGGGAAAGCGGAAAATTGAAATGTCTCAACGCGCGCTTCAATGAATTTTATTATTAATTTTGAATTTCAAAATTAATGCCAGGTAAAAGAAAACAATTATTTAATTATTGTGCAGTTACCCTTATACCCCTGTTGTTGTAATAACAACACCTTAGGTGTTGTTATGCTATCCGGAGCCTTCATTAAACTAAATTAATTTGAACCATTAGATTTTAATGAAGCTCAATTGTTGAGTTTGACTTAGTCACTTGATCTTAGCCCCATCCGGCTAGGGATGGCAATGGGTCGGGTTGGGGCGGGTTTTGCCAAACCCAAACCCATGGGTTTATCCGCCAAAAAAACCCGGGGTAAAACCGGCTGGGTTTGAAAAACTCAAACCCAACCCGCTGGGTATCTGCGGGTTGACGGGTACCCGTGGGTTTTTGTGGTAAAAAAATAACAATTACAATTAACAAGAAATAAAAATCAAGCACTTACACAAAAATGGAAAGGATTTGTGAGTTATAATAAAGAGCACCCAGAAGGAGAAAAACTAATCCTAAAGTTCATGTTGAGTAAAATACCAACAGAAAAATTTGTTTCAGTTAAAACATTATAACAAACAGCAAACACACATACACACAAACTAATCCAAAAGTTCATGTTATTAACCCAAAAGTTCATGTTAAACTTGGAGAAATCCCCACATTGTTGCAAATAGGGAGAAGAACATGAAAATATGCAGCAAAATATACAGTAAAGATCCACTAAAATCTTGCTTGTCCGAAGCATTCTGCACATCAAAATATGCAGCAAAACAAGGATGGACATAACACTGAAGCACTATGTACGCTCGGAGAAATGTTGAATTGATGTTTCAAGGACTATCCACAGCATAAATAAAAACCATTGGTTACTCCTTGAACCTGCTTCACAATATAATAACCACTAGGGAAGTCTCACACATAAAGAGACCATGGGGAGGTGCAAGAAATAAGCTTATGATAACAAAGATCATTTACATATATAGCAGATCCATTCACAACAACTTGATTTTGCTTGTCAAGATAGGAGCTCACATCTGTTCACAGCCCGAAGAAAATTCTTTTAACAAAAACCAATAGCAATTCTTTTATACAACTAATTCACTACAACTAGCGCAACATTTGACATCTCAATAACTATCAATTGATTCACTACAACCCGCACAATAATGTCAATAACTATCAACATATGACCTCGACAAACATTTGACATCTCAACTCAGCAATCATCATCCTTTGGCAAGAAAGACACATCTGTGCAATTACTTTTCCATTCAAAAGTCTAGAAGAATCCTCCATACCTCACAGAGGAGAAGCAGCCGCAGCCTAGAAGATCTCCGGACCTTGGAAGGCTTCTCGGCAATGCAACACCGCAACAGCAGTCTCAAGCCGAGGTAAAGGAGGAGCGGTAACGACGAAGAGGAGAATCAGGGGAATCCGGGAAAGGCGGGATTTCGTTCCCTTGCCGGCCGAGCAGAGGACGAGCAGGGGAATCCGGGAAGGCGGGAGTCGACAAGAGGCAGAGGCGGGCGAGAGTCGCCGAGAGGTGGAGGTCGGACCTGCGAAACGCGAGTCAAGTTTGGGTCTAAGAAACTGGGAGTCTGGGACTGAGTGCGGCGGGTCGACGAAGGAGTCACCGAGAGGAGCAGGGGGAGGGCGGTGGAGAGGAGCAGTGGGGATGTCGGCGGGCGAGAGGGGAGTAGTAGGGCGGTTGGCGACGGTCGCGAAGGAGGGTGGAGGCGGGGGTCGTGCGATTCAGAGAGAATTGGAGGGGGCGGAGGCAGGGGCGGATCCAGGGCTGGGCCAACCCAGGCCCCGGCGCAGCCCTACTCCGGATCCAGAGTTAGTTTAGTGCTTATAAAATTTTTCGATTTAGGCATTTGGCCCGTGCTATTTAAATTCTGTCTAGTTTTATTTGATAATAGGATTTTGTGTAACTAGGAAAATGGTTCAGATGAACATATCCAAACCATTACTTTAAAATTTCCCAATCCCCCCAAACCAAAATAAAAACGAGGAGACGAGCAGACCCAAATGGATTTCTCCGCCAACCCGTCGAGATGGCTTTCTTTCCATTCTTTTTATTAAGAAAATATTTACAAACTTTCTGAGTCGTCATTTAGATTGCCTCAATTGAGTGGGTCACTAGATTCTAATCGTTCTTTCTGGTGTTTTGATGAAGAAAATATTTACAAACTTGCTCAAGAGTTTAGCCTCGAGACTTTGAAGGCTATGAGATGCATTCTTTGGAGAATGCACTACTCATGTGAGGAAGATGAAGTTTCTTCTCTTGCAAAATTATTAGAGAAGCTGGAGGAAACACGGATGGACACATAATACAAATTGATTTGTTTAGTGTTGATCTAGCCGTTTCAACAACTACCATGGAGAGAATATTTTCAGCAATGGAACATGAACATTGATTTGTGCAACAAAATGAGCGATCAATTTCTCGTTGATTACTTAGCTATTTTCTTTGAAAAAAAGTATATTATCAATATGGATGGAGATTATATTATTGATGAATTTGCTAAATTAAAAGACCTTCTTGTACAATTGGCATTGTAATGAAAACTATATTATATATATTTTTGTATATGGTATCTAATATTCTATTCAAATGCGGTCCAGTGCTCTCTTATGTCCTGGATCCGCCGCTGGGCGGAGGGGAGGAGCGTCTAGGAGATTGGGGTAATTAGAAAATCTTAGGGTTTAGGCCTTAGGGTTAGGGGTGTGGCCGGGTATTTACGGGGCGGGTACCCCCAAACCCGTACAACAAGACAGCGGGTTTAAACCCGAACCCGGTCAACACGGGTTTTACCCGCTTTGACCGGGTTGGGTCGGATCGGGTACCCGCGGGTTCGGGTTTCATTGCCATCCCTACATCCGGCACTTATCCGGGTCAATCATTTTGGCGTTCACCGTGGAGCCATAATTTTGGTATTCTTTCATTTAATTCCTGAGTGAGGGAAGAAATCAACTCTTCCGCCATCACATCTCACGACGACAAGAACAACCAAGGGAAAGATCTTCCTCTGCCGAATTCAGAGGAGCATTTTCTTCATGACATTCCAACAAGTTACAAAATCTCATATCTGGATGGTAAAAAGCAACAAAGACAATTATAGATCTGGAAATATCTTCCCAGCAGAGGGATACAAGATGGAATCCCCATTGCAAGGAAAACAAAAATATACAAGAGCTTGCACGAGCAAGCAACGGGTTTATTTTCTGCAGTTGGCGAGTACCCAGCTTCTCCTCCGGCCTTCAACCTAGTCGGCATCTCCAACTCCTCATCGCTTTTCTTCGAACTCATCGTGGCCGGTACAACCCACCGTTGTAACCAGTTGGCAGTTGTCGCCCTAGCTACTTGTCGTCTCCGACTACTTCAAACCCAAAATTCTGGTGACTTTGACGGTCGGAGTTATGCATAGCGCCAGCGCTCCGACGTGGAAAAGAAGTGGTCCTGCAGTCGCCATCACAAGCAGCTGTCACGTCGTCCTTTGCTACTCTCCCCCAAAAATGGTCTACTGCTGCTTTCTCTATTGTTAGGAAAAGTAGACGAACAGGTTTACCGAGGCAAACAGTGGAGTTATCAAGGCAACGTCTCACAGGGGAAGGCGCAAAGCGGATGCAAACAACCCCAAGGAAGAAAAGTTGCCTGCAAATCTTGATTCGAGGCTAGATGAAACGTCCCGGTCCTTTTGAAACTAAAACCATAACTCAAATCGAAAATCGG